AACTAAGACGCAAAATTGGCTTCAGTGATCTATCAATATTTTGTAACTCTAAATCGATGTTTTTTATTTAACTGATTTAATTCAATTTTTATAACATATATGGTATATAATTATCAAATATAATTAATTATTATATATAGTATATAATTAATCAAATTATGTTAATAACATTTTTTAATTCGAGATATCGTGAAAATACGAGTATAATGTAATCTTACTATTTTTCTTAATGCGAATTAAAATATTTTTATTGACTAGATATTTTTTATCCGAATTTTAATGATTCATGTTATTTTTTCACTGGATCGAATTACATTAATTACGTTATTATTTAAGTTATCTATAAAATAATATGTAGAATAATTATCAAATAATAATAATAATAATCAAATAAAATTTGTATAAATAAATGTTTTTTTTTTACTGATCGTTCAACAAAAATGTTTTTCCTGTATCTATGTTTCATGGAATTTAAATATAATTACATATCACCATATCTCTTACACATTTACTTTAAATATCTTATATCAAAGGTGGTAGAAAGTTAATGGAAAAAAGCTGGGAAGCAGGTTAGACACTGTGTTTGAATGCTTGCCTTTTTCTATGTTTGTTGTAGGTATACTTTGGAAAAAAATGTTTGTGAATTATAATAAATCATCACATTCACAACATATGTCTGAGTGAATATAGATGTAAATTATAGTTATTATGGTTAGTATGGTAATATTCATTATATTATATGACAATCATTGAATTCATATATTATTGTTCTCGAGGGAAACCATAATATTGAAAAATGTTAAATTCTTTCGTACCATTTGTAGGTATGTCAAATTATCATTTTTCTATAATTTACTTTTTGGAAAATGTAGAAAAAAATTTAAAAACATAAGATCTTGAACATATAATTCAAAAATGTTCATAGATCGCTCACCTCTTGTATAGAAAAATATCATAAATCTTCGGTCACAATATTTTTATTTTTTTTTTAAATAAAACAGCATTGTAGAATGTTTAATCTAATAAATGTATTGTTTTACTCAATATCAAAAGTATTTTATTAGACACAACGTTAATATATTTGTATAAATGTTTATTTTTAACTGAACTGTATAACTTCTCCCCAGGTAAATCTTAAGTTACTCTAGATAAGTTTAGAAATTCTTTTCGGGTTATCGTATGGTGTATCTGAGAGAGTTAGCTAGATTCATTAGATTTTTGAACCAAAAAATTAGTTTTTTTTAAGCATCATAGTTAACTTTTTAGATATTAAAGTTTATTTAATTATTATCTTACTGATAGTCAACTAAAAACCTATATATACTAATATGGTATATAAGTCCATAGGCGCACATTCAGTATAAAACTTAAGAGTTCTACAATTATCCACCCCAAGGTAATCCGTAGGGAACAAAGCATTCCAAAAACCCCCTACGATAGTTGTTTGCAACCTTTTTCATCCTATGTCTTGTGGTCAATTTTTAAAAATCTCATTTCCCCTCCCCTTAAATTAGAATTTAGGTGATTTTTAGTCATGCGAATCAAACTTTGTACCTATCAATATTAGATTAATTTCGAAAAGGTCTATCCGCTCTTATTATAAAATATAATTGTTTTCAATACGGAGTAATATAAAAATATACAGTGATTTCAATTTTACACATTGCAAATGAAAAATAACAAAATTATTTTCGTAATTTTATCGTGAATATATCCCCCTCCCTCGAGATTACTGTAAATCCCCCCCAGGGGGAAATTTCCCTTTCGGGTAGAAAACACAGCCCTACAATTATTTGACACAAAATGTTTTAGTTTTACCGTTTAATTATAAATGTAGAAATTTCCTGTATTATAATTAAATATTATTAATAAACATCACTATTTTTTATTAATTAGCCATCAAACCTGTAGACGGTAAACACCACCAAAATCCTAAATGGTAGTCCAGCAATAAACTAAATTATCATCACAGTGTCACACGTATAGGTAACATAAACACAAATACCCAATACTCTTACTGCATACATACATGTATAACATTTGTATGTACATTGTACGTTTGTGGTATTAATGCATTGCCAATGTAAACTGGAGTTTACTTATTTTTATAAATGCAAAATAATCCTCTTTAAACAATATTTTTACTTCAATATAAACTGGGAGTACTAATTTAGAACTTGGGGGTACTAAGAACCCTCTGGCACCCCCGTATGTGCGCCAATATATAAGTCAAGTTCGTAACTTAAAAGAGAAACCTAATCTTTTAAATACTAAAATGTACCTGAATAATATAATTATGTACTCGTATATTATCCTAGTTTCCGGTGTTATTGAAAACCACTGATTCGATATTGGTAATATTTATTTGGATCAATTTTTAAAACACTCGAAAAGTTATAAACTACATTGATTGTCTTATTTATAAGAAATTTAAATTTCAACCGAAGGCTTATCCAATTATTAGTTTTTTACTATATTATATTATAAAATAGTCTTGTATTTCACTTCAATTTTAATGTTAATATGTTAATTTCCTCTTAATGTAAATATTAGTTGCGTCAAGTGCGATATGTATTTTCTTATCTTATAACTTGGTATCATAATAATTTTTTTTGTTGATCTTAGATGTAAGGTGAGATATTTCTAACGATTGTTACTAGTTTATAGTAATATTTATTCAAATTTGTAGACAGTGGTAAATCACTGAATATAAAAGATGACTCTGTGAAAGGATTGGTGTGATATATAATATATATAATACAAACATGAATATTTTATACTTCAAAGATAAAAAAGAAAAAAATTAATTGTCAATATTTATTTAAATATATGTATATAAAATCGCATTTTGAAAACTTTGATGTATAAAACCTTTGATTTAGTACCATAAATAATATTGTAAGACCAATACCATTTTCCTTCCTTCAGAATCTAAAAGTTAGACTTACACATAAGTAAAATATATTGATTTCAATTGTAATCAGAATTATTTTCAGAAAACTATTAGCCAAATGAAATAGAACATGCATACCTAATAATTTAAAAGTAAATGTTATTTAATATTATTTTAATAAAATTGATGGCTAAAAGTCAGCTAAAGATGTTTTATATCATTTCGATAAATACACCAATTATTTGACAGCAAGTTTACAAACAATTAAGTACTGGTTATTTCGATTGAAATACCAGTGCCGGTTATAATGATAAATATGTATTATTCTTTAGGTATTTATCGTTTGTAGATTATTAGGAATTACAAACGGATGTTTTCTAAAATCTTTGATATCATAATTATAGCAAAATGATTTATGGATGTATCATTTATTAATCATTAAATAATACATTTTAAAGCGCTTTACTAATTTTCATTCTGGGGTGAATTTATATTTACGAATAATAATTTATCGATCAAAAGTTTCTGGTAAATGGTCATTCAAACGATTGTTTTTGACTTATAGTTAGATATTCTTTTGACAAAAAACTCTATAGACAAACATAATAGAAGTTTAAATTTTAATTTATAAATACTTTTCTTGATATTATTATGTTTGAAGAGATTCCCTGATTCTTGCAAATTTGATAAAATAAATTATTTCATACTAAAATATTTTAAGTAATCAATGTTTGCATTTTGTTCATCAAATTAGCTCAATTAATCGATTTGAATCATTTTTATTTTAATTACACCTTTAACCTTCATAAAATAATAATGTACTAATGAGATAATATTATGCTGATAAATAATCACGCGATTGAATCCAAAATAATAAAATATATGGTAATCCATCTGCATATTATGTCCTGGACACACTGTCGTTGTAGTGACATATACATACTGTCGATGTTGATTTCGACATACGTTGTAACGAATGATTGATGTACATCATCACAGTAGCTATGAAGCTCTCATTTCCCTTAGAACATCGATAACGGATATTTTCTTCCTCGCGACAACCTACCATCATCTTTCCGCCGTTTAAAACGACAAGGAAGAATATACAGTAGATAGGATCTCGTTAAGAGTTCGACGACGTGAGAAAAAAAACATCATGGTCTTTTCCCATTCACTGTGTAATTTTTCACACAGTTTTTTTTACACTAGATTTAGTTAGTTTTTGTACCATCAGTAAATGTAGTACTTTTTGACTCCTTAAAGTCTATGTTAATACAGTTATAATAGTCAAAATTTGTATTTATTAAATTTAGTATAAAAATATAATTTTGAAAAATGAGATTGACTTATGTGAATTTCATTATTGTATATTTTATTTTATTTATTTATTTATTTATTTATTTTTGTCACCTGTATAAAATTAATGATTAAAAATAATGAACAATAATTGTTATCAATAATTATTATTGAATTCTTAAGAAAAAACTATTCATAGTATTGAATTGAAAAATTGTATTCAAAAACTAATCGCTCTATTATGATTATATCTTCTGTATTCGTTGCTCTACTTTTGATCTCTTAGTATTTCAATGGAATAAATAATGCTTTAGTACTTTTAAGTAGATCAATATAAAATAATTTAAAAAACATTGTCACTTGATAGTTGTATCTTCATTTAGTTGACAAAATTTGCTTCAGCGAAATCGAATATTCCAAATGGACCGTAATATACTATATACTAATATATAGAAATATTTTTCATAATCATAATATAATCTAAAATAATACTTTTAAATGTTTGGATCTATAATACAATTATGTTATATACATAATAATGTAAATGTAAATTTTCACATTTTAGTGAATTTTGTGTTCATATGTTTAAAGATTATGTATTTTTTAGTCCTATCTAAGAGTGAAGCTATGAAAGACAGAACATACTGTATCTCAGTATCTTCGTTTTGTTAATCCATATTCTTAATCCCAATATCTCATATCTCACCGTATAAAATGTATAATTTATAATAAATAATAAACATTTCAAAGTTGTTAATAACAATTTGTTGAATAATTGTTTAAAATAATATTTTTTTTTTTTCACTTACAGATAGTAATTTCGTACTCGGAAATGCTCAAGTGCCATCATTGTATCCTATAGTGTATTGTTCCGACGGATTCTGCGAACTCACAGGATTTGCTCGGGCACAAATTATGCAGAAAGGTTGTGCCTGTAAATTTCTCTTTGGTCCAGATACAAGCGATGATCATGTTACACAAATTGAAAAGGCATTGGAATGTAAAGCTGAATTAAAACTGGAATTGATTTTCTATAAAAAAAATGGTGAGTTTTTAAATTGCTTATATATTTTATATTAAATCATGGTTAATCTTTAAAAATATGATCTATTCTAAGTTCACATAGCTTATTTGGAAAATATTTTTAATCTTTAAATAATGAACTAAAAATATATACAACTGAAATGGGTGAAGCCAATTAATTGAAATTATAACTATTTTATACTTCATATTATATTATATCCTTAGTGGCTTAAAGAGTAAATTAAAAATATAGTTTTTCAAGAAATATTATAAAATAAAATGAAATTAGTGGAAACGTATTCAAATATACATTTGTATTTACTCGAAACTATCAATTTAAATACCTTCTAATTATTTTTCAATTTACCCATTTCATTAATCATTCAACTATATAGTATCAAATAACTATATATAGTAAAATTGCTTTTTATTTCAATAACATTAATATTTTAGTTTCAGTTATTAAAAATTAGTGTTTATTTTTACAACTGAAAAAATATCTTTTTTAATTAAGATTTATATTATTTGAATCATTGATAAACAACATTGAAACAACAACTTTTTATATCATGTTAACATCAAACAAATTTAACACAATAAAGGAAACAGGTAATTTCCTTTTCGTTAAACTTGTAGTTCTCATTGGCATAAATAAAAGAACAGTTTTGTTACTTATCAGTACCATTAGTTTGTTTGATTATTTTTTATTGATTTCGTGTTCATTATTTTTGACGATTAGTTATACATATTGTTCCTACAAAGCCAACCTTCATTCCATATTTTGTAAACCTTAAATCGATTAATAATTATAAAATATATTAACCATTTAATAGTTTTTAATTTGAATTACATTTTTCAGTATTTTATTACATAAATTATATTAATGATTAAGAGTAAGTATATTTTCTGCTATATAGTTAAGATTATTTTTGTAAGCATTATATATGATTTTCATTTAACTATTAACCTAAATATTAATGATAAAATATATAAAGGCCAGAAATAATGTACTTAAAATGAAAAGTTATAGAATCAAAATATTTTAATAAAACTTTAATTTTGATGATTAGAAATTTTTTATACATGATTCATTTAAAATACTTGAAATTATTTTGAATTTTTCTAAAGTTGATGATTAACATTTTTTATACTTTAATTACCTTTATACCTATTTTACCTTTAACTGAAAATAATTTATAAGAACTGCCTATAAAGCAATATTTCGTGTAGAATCATTATTGAATGCTATGATTTATATTTGCTATTGAATATATTTATTCTAAATGGGCATTAACAACTTAATTACGAAAATATATTGACTCAGTTGAGTTTTTTCCATTAAAAAGACATATTTTTGATTTGTATAATCAGCCTAATAATACTTGTGAAATTCAAAACAACCTATTATAATGTGTATTTTATAAAATATGCATCGATTAGTCTGTATAACATAATTTATTTTACAAGTTAAATAAAAGTCAAATTGATATTAATTGAAAAAAATATGATATGTCCCTGATTCTTCACAAATTTCAAATAACATAATGTACATAATTTCGATAAAAAAAAAAACTACAGTTAGAGTTATCGTGGTTTATGAAAAATGTTTAATTTTAAGATAATAATATAAATAAATAAGTAATTTAATAGGTACTGATTACATGCGGACTTGTACAAATTTATACAAAAAAATAACTGAAATGTGTTGAGTTAAAATATATATATACATCAACAGGTATATTAAAATAACCCAACAAGTAGCAAGTCTTGAAAATTATTTTTTTTTTCTTGAGTTGTTAATGAGTGGTGTTTATTTTCTACATTTTTAATTACTACCAAAGTACTCATTTAATGTTCTTCTTCATTTTATCAAATTATTGTATTAATTAAGAGTATTTAATTAAAAAACATTAACAAATTTGTTGACGGTTTTTTTTTCATTTTATTAGAAACGTTTAATTATTTATTCGTATTTGCAACGAAATATAGAACAATTATAATTTATTATTTTTTCAACAAATATAATTTTTAGATCGTCGATACTTATTTAAAGAGTAAATAATTGACAAAATTTCGAAGTAAATAAGTAGTTTAAGTATTTTATTGTAAAATAATTCTACAATTGTTAGTTTTGTGGTTATTATGTTATTATATTATTTTTATTTGTATTAGTACCCAACAACCACCAATATTTACACAGATTTGAAATTGAATAACTTTTTTTTGTACTAATTTATTGTAAAAAACCTTCAATATGAAAGCTTTTTAATAAAATATCCAATTCATTAAAATAATCAACATTTAATATTATGTTAATAAATATACATTTTTCTATTATTATTCTATGTAAAATTGAATTAAATATCACATAAAATGTAATATCATGATTATATTGTTATATTGTTATAAATTTGGAAAATTGAAATGCATTTATAAAAATGTATAATTTATAATAGCTATAAACTGTAAATTTCAGATTTTTTTCGTTATATTTTGTAGTTTTGATCGAATTACTTTACATTTAACTTTCATATATTTTAAAAAAAAATTTAATTAAAACGATTACATAACGAAACAAATTGAATATACAATAATACAATTCCTTATTTAATTTAAATTTATTTTATTATAGGGATCAAGTATACACCGATTTTAAATTAATTTCCGTTGTTTGAACTTTATGTGACTATATTACGTAATATTTCCCCACTACATTTGTCAATAAAAAAATTTTCAGTACGAAATTGTATCGTATATTTTTTGTATTACTTATTACTATCTACTGGATAAGTACTTACTGATAAATCGTATATTAGAAGAATAAAGTGCATGTTAATACAAAAAGTTGAAAACAGTAAGACTCAACCATGAATATCTTTTAAGCTGCTACAAAATCCTATTTGACATCACTTTATACCAATTACTTTGTGATAGAAAAACTTTTCTCTAAATCGCTTTCGAAATTTGATGATTCATTCTAAGGCTGAGATACATTTCTAATATGAAATCATTCTGTAGCTACATAATATCAATATCATATTTTAACATGGAGAGTTAATTAAAAATAAAGAATTAATATTTTGTTTAGATTTATATTATAATTTATTAATGTACGTGTTCTGAATACTTCATTATTATTCATGTTTATTTATGATCATTCAGGTATTAAATATTTGTTTATCTGACCAAGTATCAATGATTTATTTTTACTAAAATATAATTAGATTTTAATTATAAGCATACTGAGAATAAGTAAATAATTATCATCAACAATACAAATAATAATAAAGTTCAACATATTTTATTTATTTTTACAGTAATTATTGTTTTAAATAATATCTTTTTTTCAAAATAGGATTCGTTCAATTGTTAAATAATTTGAAGATATTTAAGTCCTACGGATGATATAATTCAAATATAAGTTAAGGGTTTTTATGGGTGTTAATATTTTTGGTGAATTCAAGTTCAAGTATCGATTTTTGTCATTATACTATTATTCTACTGATAAACACAAAAATGAATTGATTTTTTTAGATTCTATTTTAAGAGGTTATGTAGCGACTATTTATTTTTTGAACAAAAAACTTTTTTTCGTCATTGATGATATAATACAACTTAACTCATAATTTATTTTTCTATCATTTATTTTTTCTGTACTATTAGAACTTTAGATGTTAGTTTCTTTTGTGATTCAATGAAAATAATACATGTGTGTATGTTTAGAAAAACATAGCATTGTATTGTTCCTATTAACTTATTATGTTGCTTTCTATTGAATAGTATGTTACCCTTTATTTTTTCTTAAATATATTGAAATTCTTTGTAAACTAAATGTTCATAATGACGTACTTTTTATAAAAATAATTTAAGTAGGTTATTGTTCAAAATATTTCATAAAAATAAAACATAGATAATCAATTCGAAAATATCACTGTCAGTATATATTATTGTATATTATTTTTAAATATTTATTAGGCTCACAAAATAAGTAAAACATGGTACGTAACTAAGATTTATTACATTTTTGGTTAGGCGTTGAAAATAATATATTATCTCTCTCTGTAGATACATTAAATTACCATATTATTGTTGTAGACTGGTATTAAAAACATTTTGGGAAGGAGGAATTTGTAACACATACAATTCCTATGTGCTTAAATTAATATTAAGTAATATTAAAAATTGTAATATATGTATTTTTAATTATTTATTTTTAAATTAAGGCTTTAGTGAGACGATTGTTATTTGTTAGTATATGGGTGATTTATAGCTATAAAATAATCATTAAACTGCATAATTTATCATGTAAATATTTTTTTGTTTTATAAAACAATTTGTTTTTTTTAAGTACATTTTATTAAAAATGCGTTATTATCTTTGACAGTCAGTTTTAAACAGATGATATTTACACAAAAACCATTAGGTATACTCAGTCAAAATGTATTGGTCTACAATAATTAATAGAAACTTACTTTATTATTAATTAGTAAATAAATTAAATATTAAACGTAAAAAATATTATTTAATAAGTATTATATTCGAATATACGATTCATCAGTTTGATATTAATCAATTCGATTCGTCACCAGGGGAACAAATTATCGAATAATTATAACAACATACAGTGATTCCAAAAATACCTAGGATATTTTCTGTTCATCATACATATAAAAGAAATATTATAATTAAAAGAACAGAGTGTGAATAATCATGTCCCTGCAAGTAAAAAATGTAATTGTACTGATATCCTCGTATAACAGGATATTTTGAGGTGAGCGTCGTTGATGATCACGTTAATTAATGCGGACTAGTACAATACTAGCCAACAAATTATGCGCAAAAAAAATATGATGGTTTAAAATAAGCACTTTCGTAGTAAAATGATTAGCTTATCAAAATTAATGTAGTTATTTTAATAGGAAATAGATAAATGTTTAAACGCTTCAAGACAATCGCACACACGTATAATATGTAAGTTATTATTATTAACTCCACCCAATTAAAGTTTCGTGTTAATGGTTT